TAATGCCTCTTTCCTCGAGTCGATATTTCAGTAAATACACAAAAGTGTGCAGCGATGAAAGACAGTGCATAGATGACAAGATGAGGCGTCCATAACATTATTTTGCAGAATTTTTTTTGATTTGTTTTGCAGGATTTTTTTGATTAATTAATTGAATTAATTTGCTCTGTTTAGGGGGTCGTGCCAGGATCTCGATTTGGGGGGGGGGGTCGTACCTTCTGCGACCACGTACTCGACACGATTTTCACCCTGCTACCAACTCGTCCTCGCTCGCCGCGGCCGCGCCCCAAATCACGAAGAAAGTGGGGAAGCCCTCTGCTGCTGACTGATACCTTTGGAAAAGCTGTGTCAGTTACCGTGCATTGCTCCAGAGACTGTTTCCAAACAGCTCCAGAAGACACTCGTCATTCAGTGTAACAGCCGACCGAATTTGGTTTTTTCTTGAGTTTCTGGACAGGTTCGGCAACCAATGTTTCCATGTCGTAAAAGACATTCTGGAGGCCTATCGTAGGCTTCTTGCCGCATCGCCTCCACTGACGCGTTTTCTTGGTTTTAGAATCAGGACCAGAAAAAGGGTTCTATGTACTCAAGAACGATTTCGTCAGCCATGACCACTGCGAAATACCACGGCAAAAATGCTTGAAGAGACCACTGACTAGGGCTTAAATATGTTTTCCAGTGAGTGTTCAAAATTTACCACTGAGAGCTCATACAGATGGGAATGGTCAAAGACTTCCCAGACGTCCTCTGGCACTATTGCACTATTACAATCCCAGTGGGGTGAAATGAGTCAATTTTTTTCCCTAAAACTCCTTTGGAGTCGAGGGTCCTGACCACGAATATGCCACTCATTTTTGGTGCTGACGCCAAATTGGCGCCACTACTGAATCTCACCAAATTCGCTGTAAACTAATATGTATAGGGGTTGAGGCTCTGATTACGAATGTGAAACTCACTTAGCTCCTAAGACTAAGCCTAGGGAAAGGGAGTGATTGGTGTAGTGGGTAAACCAAGCACCGTGTGGCAAAAGTTAAAGTGTGTGAGATGAGTGAGTGGCTTACTCACTTTGGAGCCCTCCTCTCCAAAGGCTTAGTCCTGATTGCGATCTAATTAGTGCGAGGGCGCAGACGAGCAGGAAATAGGCGCCAAATAGCGCCAACAACAAAACGAATGTCATATTCGTAATCAGGACCCCAAATAACCCCTATACAGAAGTTTACAGCGAATTTAGTGGGAATCAGTCGTGGCGTGAAATTCATTCGTGGCGCCGTCTAGTGGCGATGGCGCCAGCGTCAAAAATGGACCGCATCTTCGTGATCAGGACCTTCGATAACACCCATATGAGAATCCTCGATGAAAAATTTTTTTGGCCTGTCTCACCCCTACTGGCGTTTCAATAGTGCAATAGAGCCAAGCCTCTTGTACGAGTTTGTCGAGCGAAATGTAGTTTTTTTTACGGCATTTTGTAGTCAGAAATAATTCCCGACGTTGGTGGTTGATATGCTCCAATGATGGGCCGCGACGCAGCCGTCTCAAGAATTTGCATCTTGAAAGAGTTTGACTAAAATTCTCGAGGAAGCTTCTGTTGACCTTACTTTTCAGCCGTTTTGTGAGCTATTTATGTTCTCCTATGGTTGAAGTTGCATTATTCATCTCCTGTTCTTGGTGATTATGAATAGGTTCAAAACGAATGTGGGCACTATTGCGAAAGGAAGTATGACCAATTGGGACTTCTTTTTGGACAGTAGCATCAACACCACTTTTGCTTCGTCCATGCTCCATTGCTCATTATTTTGAAAAGCCTGCTATTTCATGAGTTTTAGGTTTTGGTTGATGTCAAGTCGGAATCTTAAATTTTTCCGAGTTGGGTTGCCATTTTTCTCGATTGTTCTTGGTGGCGCTTACGGTCTACATTATTTTCAACAAGTTCGGTTCGATTTTCGCAAACTGAAACTACAGGACGCCAACCTTGAGCACCTGGTTCGTTTGTGGTGATAACTTTCTGCTCCCTTTAACGCGTCCTGTTGTTTTCTCTGTTATCCTTTTTATTTCTAACAGACGTGTTTTTTCTTGAGAATCGTAACATAGCTTACTAATGTTTCTCATGCTACTTCCTACACTAGAATGGCGATTTTTGCAGAAATCGGATCTCGAAAAAAGCGGGCTTAAGCTTCGTAAAGACGTGACAGTTGACAACGTTTACAAGGTAGGAGCAGTACTCCTTTACAATCTCAGCTGGCATCTTCAGTACGCATATTTTATAGGAAGTAGCGGTTCTTGACACGGAAAATTGGGAGAACATCAGAGGGCCACGCGAGGACGAGGACATCAACGAGTACTTGAGGATCAAGTAGGTTTATCGTTAGCATATCAGGTTGAGACACGATAACGCAAGTCTATCAAGTATTGACCTGTTTTGTGTTTTCTGTCGGTAAGATTCAGGATATTTAGAATTTTGATATTGGGGGCTTATTATAAGTGATCTGTATCCTAAACGGAAACATTACAGATGACAAGGAAAGTGCTGTTCGTTAACGTCATCCACATTCTGTCCCTTCCTTCTGTTCGTTAGATAGTATTCTTCGATTTTCTGTCTGGGTGCTTTTTCATGGGGAAGGGGTGCATTCTCGCGCTGACCAGGAAAGGATGATGAGTCGAAGTGGCCGTATGCAATAAGGCCTACAATGATGGATGTGTTTTTGACCGCCTATCTCAAATCTGCTTTCCAAAATCCTTCTTAGTGTGTTGGGTTATGCGATCGATTGTTGGCGGAGTTTGTGAAGCAAATAGAAGTAGCGTATGGTCCGACGATCTTCGAACGGAGGTCTTATTCCTCTACGGCGTGTTCCGCTTTGCTTTTGGCGAGTAAACAAGTTGAAAAAATCAGTCAACTACAAGATACTTGGCTCAACGGTTATGTACAGTCGATATCTCGAAGTCTGATTGGGCGTGTCACCGGAAATGACGTGGCAGCCACCGCACTTGATAGAAGTTGCGCGGATAAGCTGCTTCCAACACGCTTTGCTGATATCTGGCGGAGTATTTTATCCACACAACATCTATCAAGTGCGGTGGCTGCCACGTCATTTCCGGTGACACGCCCAATCAGACTTCGAGATATCGACTGTATACGTGAAAAGTTGGGTTTTTTGCTAAGACTGCACATGGAATCGGCAGAACTCCTGAGGGTCGTCTTCGCAGCATGCAGGTGTGGTATTCGTGTTCCAAAGATAAAAATTCCCCTGCAAGCAAATTTAGCACATTTACCCGTCAGGAAATCGATCCTTGGACCTCCTGCCCGTGTACCCAGACCTGTTCCATTTTGCTTCATAGCTCTGTTTAGAAATTCGACTGGCAGATTTTAAAAGCGGGTTCGAGATCAGCGTCCAAACGCACATGCAACATTGTAGGTCTTATTGCATACGACCACTTCGACCCATCATCCTTTTTTTGGTGGGAAACCAGGGGTGTTATTACCGCGACAAGTAGTACCTCACAAATGCTAAGAGAAGAAATTGTCATTCCACGCGACGGCGCAACACTCTGCTCGTTTGTGGTCTCCCGGCAAGATGATGAACATTTGGCCTCACTCATATGATTGCTCTAATGCAAATCTTGCTCACGTGATCTTTGAAACAACAATTTACGTGCGGCTTCATTTCTGCGCAATTTTTTGAGTTTTTTTATACACTAACGCAGGAGCGACGCGCATGTACGACAGACTCTCATACGGATGTGACTGGTTTTGCTCAATTTTTTGATATTTACCATGTTCCAAATCTGCCCGTTTAAAGCATCAGTTTTAGAAAATATATTATTTACGTGGCGGAACTATTCACGAATAGGACGGTACTGAAAAAGAAGGTGACAAGGCACAGCATAATGGGTTGTCGTCAATTTGTTGAATTTCATAATAATTTATATTATCAGATCTTACATGCATTGTCCGGTTTTTGCGCTAAATGATGTTTAGGAGCATTTGTGGGCCGAAGGATGATGACCTCTCCTCCCTCCCAAGGTTATGTTCTAAAATCGAGCTGCGGTAATACTGGCGATTTTTTGGTTCTCCTTCTGCATCTTGCTCATCGTCTTGCGTTTAGTTCTCTAGGTGGTGACGCTTGAATTACTTTTGCTGAACGTTTGTAGTAAAATAAAATTTTCCCTTTGGTTTCAAATGCGAGTTTTGCATCTCCAAATATTCTTCCGCCGCAGGAAACCCAGGTCCTCTCCTAGTCAGTGGTGGACCTGGGATTCCTGCAGCGAACAGCGTTTCGCGATGCGAAACGCGAAAAAGTTGCTTTTTGTGTAAGCTAACCACGCCCTTCAATACACTGGATTACCGCGCGAAAATGTCTTCCTCCCTTTCAAGGACATGAGCCCCTTTATTTGTACATATTTGTGGGTTTAGGATATACAATAATATGAATAGAGGATATGTAATATAAATACAAATATATACATATATATATATATATACATAATGATATATATATATATATATATGATATCTATACATAATGAGTTCGAAATAAAATATTCTCGGCCTTCTTCAAATAATTTTTAGAGCTCAACAACAAGAGGCTAATAGAATTGCTCGCTTGAAGCGCAAGCAAGAACTTGATGGCTGAGCAGATTCCAGAGGATCAGCTTCCTAGGTAAATTTTTGAGATATTTTTGTCCATTCAAGTTGTATTTCAAATATTCTAGGGCTCTCTCCAACGCAAATCTTGATATTAGTGATAATCCACCGAACCCTGACAACGACCTCCTCTCTCTCCGACGAGTCGTATCAGAGAGTGCAAACACATATTGGATAGAATTACATAAAATTTCCTGTAAATCAATCGAACGCTGCCCTAACTCGATGGCCCGAACTCGCAAATTCGCCCTTATCAACTCTGGGTATTAGCTTTTCGCAACTCTGCATATATAATCCTGCTGAGAAGGCGTAAATGCGAAAAAAATTGTAAGAACGGGTAAAAGCGCCAAAAAATTGTCTCTTTAATGAATATATCCTGAATAAGTCTTGAATACGACTCTGGCCTATAAATTCTGGATTGTTGTTCATGCCCAGAGTTCAACCTCCTATCAAAAAACAACATGTCCCAATGCGCGTCCTTTATGTATTCATAGACTGCAAAAATGAAAACGAGTAATTCAATTTTGAGCACTTTGTAAATTCAATTTAAGAGTGTACTCATTTCATTTTAAAGAAGAACAATTCCTGACCCTGGAACATTACTCTCTCACCGAGTACCCAGGAAAGTTGTCAAACTTGACTTTTTCACGCCATCTAAGGAGCTCTAGAATTTAACACAACTGCAACAAATCAACTGATAGTCTATTTGTGCTGCTCATTCAAACATTGTATATGGGTACGATAGAGCGTTGTTAAATGGAGTGAAAATCTGCAATCTATTGATTACGGTGCAGCCAGCACTGCCACATCAGCATGATAGAGACGCTTTCGTAGTGTGTCTTATTATGCTAGCAAGTGCTCGTTCATTCTTCTATCTTTCGATACCTTCTTTCAATACAACCGAGGCTTCGGTAGTGTTGAACTCTCCGACACGAATTCGTGTTGCTGAATTTTATCCATTCATTTACGTTTTGCTTTTTTTTTTGTTAGAAGCTTGCGATCACAAACTCGCACGCTTTATTAGGATTTCATTCGATGGGGTTTTTCTTAGCAATTCGATCGATCGATTGTCTTGCTTACATTCCATGGAATATTTCCTGCATCAGTGCAATTTCCTCGCCCCAATGACAATTTGCAGCTGGTGCAGCCAATACATTTTCTTCAAAGAGCTATCCATATGCAATTTTCAGCCTCTTTTTGTATTTGAATCAGTATGCCTTAGACTCTAGAAATTAAAAGCCAAATCGTCTAAATTGCCCCATGATCAGCGATGATCACAGTTAACACGCGCTTAATGCAGTCGAATATGATGTCTATTAATCTTTCATCGCATTGAAAGTAGAGTAACAAGTTAAAGGAATCTTCCACGGAAAAAGCTCCGCCCTCATTACCACAGAAAACGATACCTTAAAGGAATCTTCCACGGAAAGAGTGATCATTTTGTCTTGTGTGTAGGATTAGTATTATCGAAACTAACGCTTATTTCTTTTGCTATGCTCTCATGAGGCTAGGGGCCTAAGGTATCGTTTTTCTGTGGTAATGGAGGCGGAGCTTTTTCCGTGGAAGATTCCTTTAACACTATGATCATGCTATCCACTGCAATTTAGCATGTGCGAGCACTGCTAGAGCTTTGTATAGCCTAGAAAAGCATCTTTCCAAGTTTTCTTTGAAAAGCCAAAATGAATATACTTCACGAAGGGAACTTAAAAATGGAAGCTTGCCAGCTAATGGTGAGAATATTTGACAAACCCCATTACCTATTGCACTATTGAGGCTCTCCCCCACCGCACATAACTAACGATGATCACTTTCCCTCAAGGATTCACAAATTTTGTTCCACTTGATAAGGTTGATGCACTAAATATACTTTCCATTTCATACTTAATGTAATACATTGTAAGTCTTTGCTGCGCCCTTCACCTGTCGTTCTCATCTTGTTCTTCAGAAGAATTCATATTTTTTGACTTTTAAACACATGCAGTTTGTGACGCATTGTTGCGCATCTAGATATGGGTGTGAATGTTACGGCTCACAGGTGCAAGGATCGGGTTGGGAAGTCCTATATTTCCATTAATCCTACTGGGCCGCCCGCGCCCTAATAAATCCTCTCACCCTGAATCTATTCTGATGACCCAACAATTCCTCATCGAGCCTCTAATTAAGACCGAGGACTCCGCTGTAGGTCTATACGTTGATTTGGGTAGCAATATTCCTACGTGTGAAGTCGTTGCAGACGGTAGACTGAAATACGGCTCCATTATTCGTGATGCAACTCATGATGAAGTGTAATGATGTTTCCAACATTACGCCATCATTCTTTTTTAGGCTCTCCTACTCCTTCGTCGGTCACTGTCGATAATCTTCCAAGCCTTCCTGATCCAGTACAGCTTGTTGGAGTTGCAGATCCTTTCGGATTAGGCGAATTACCAGAGGTTTGTCAAATCAAATGTTTTTTTAGTAAAGCTGGTTTGCAAAATCACAGTTGCAGGTTCCTGTTCCACCTCCCTCTTCGAATCAACAAGTACCCCTCAGTACAAGCAACAGTTGCGTTCCCTGACCTACCCCATCCTATTGATCCTCAAGCTCAGCCGCAAGCCTCTTTTTCGGTATGTTCAACATTGGATCGGTTTTTTCCTGGCTCTAGTAGTCAAGTTTTCATTATGCTGATTTTTACCTCGGAAATGCGGCGATTCAAAGATTCATTCTTATGGTCTATGTATGGAAATTCCTCGGCTTCTTTGCGGTAATACCTGTATTAACAATAAACACAGTTCTTGATCACATTTCCTGAAAGATAATCGAGTTCTACAATAGAAAAGAATGTACTATTGGCACATTTCGTATCTCTGTATTGGTTAGTGTTGATTTTGTCTGCGGACACTGTGTTACGTTGGTCGGGACGTATCCTAACAGTTCCTGCTATTTTCAGCTGTACATTAGGGTCTAGATTGAGGTTTGGATAAGCTTCTGAACAAAATTGAGGCGTGGACCTGTAGCGGAGTTGCTTTTCCCATTGTGGTTACCTTGGAATGTTCAGGACCGCTTCTAGGAACATACTGCCCAGTACAGGGAAGGCCTAAGTGTTGGGCTCGATGTGATGTGTGCTCATACGTTTAAAAGAAGTTCGTGTATCTATGGTCGCTCAGGGTGCAGTTTGTCTTCCTTGCTGATCCAAACAATTTGTGGCCGAAACAGCAACGAAGGAAATGTTGAAATGGAGTTTAAAGGTCTCATTCAGTCATATCAAGGCATGACTTGCAAAATAAGGGTGAAGTGAGGGGGAGGTTATGTTGAAGAACAGTTCTGCATATCTTCCGCATAATTCGAGTTTATGTACATAGATATGCGATGCGTCGCTGGCACAATTATGTTTCCGGAGTAAATCACACAAGTATTGACGACGTGGTTGACAATTCATTTTTCTTTCAGTAATCTTTCTCGAATCAAAAATTAAGAGTATGAACGGTGCCATGATATCTATTCTATCAGTACATTTTATCACGAATGAATACTATACCGGAAGATGTCGTTAGTATTTTATTTCCCAGATTAACAACGAACTATACGCGCAGCTGCTTGATCTTGGATTTGACGACTTCACTGCACGTCTTGCTCTGATTCGCACTGCGAATACAGGTGTTGAAGAGGTACGCATTCGTTGTTGGATGGTTATTTTTCTTTCTTTTTCCACACAAAAAAGTCCACGTAGTCGATATTTACATTGTTATAATTATTGATCACTGAAATGCAAATAGGGGCGCGGTGTTCCAGCAGCGTGGCTTTTGCTTCATTCTTCACAGTTGTGTTCTTGTAAATTCGTCCTACCGATTACATTTATGTTGGCTACTATAAAAACTTTCCGAATAAGAGTCGGGCTTAGATCATTTGGTACCATGACTGGCCTTTGCGCGTGAAAATCGGGGGAGATCGCGTAGATTACGGAAAGTAGTGTGTAACTATCTGAATCAGGTGAACAGGTTGAGAAGAAAGAAGGATAGAGGAATTCTTGTCGAAGTCCTTTTGGAATTTTTTTTTACAATTGGTCTCTTTTCTATGGAACCGGATTTCCGGCGATATTTTAAGGAATGGGCATTGAGTGAAAAATTTCATGTAAAATTCTCAATTCCAATCACTCAAGGAGTTCAGATGTACCAAATATCGTTGTAAATTGCTTTTCATTGTTATATTGGTCTTTGTTCTTTTGTAATCTGCACGAAGTTTATCCAGCTTATGCGAGAAGGAATATGTTTCTAAAAAGATTTCTCAGGAGCGCCAGGGTGGTTGGACCGAATTCCTTCTCCTGAAACAGAGTTTAAAAAGAAAATTCAGGCAGCTTAATTACATTGAAAAATGAGGAATAAAACGAAGAAATGAAGTCTCTGGACCAAAACAATCCAGACTAAGATTTTTGACATGTCTTTTCTGTTAACTTCTGTTAATCTGGAACACAAGTTTTAGCGGATCTTAAATTTCTTCACATGTTTTGTTTTGTTGATCGTCTGGAAGTTCTGGCAAACATTGTACTGCTTTTCATGTTTTCTTTTGTTGGCAGCAAATGATCCCGTTTCTTTCGATACAGCCGATTTTTTCATAGCGAAACTAATATTATGAGTTTTAAAGAATAGCAATATATAGACCAAGTAGGCCTTTGGTGCGCCTCGCTAGTCGCGTAGTGATTTTTTTCAAAGGTGGAATAAGCTCCTTAATGTAACGGTTTTTGGTTGATTTGGTTTAGTCTTTTTTTTTGACTTAACGAGCTATGGTTCATTTGGCTTTTTGTTCTCTCAACAGTAACATCTTCGTCACTGCGGTAATATCGAACAGATTCTGTCTATGGTATATGGCGGACTTCGCAATCGTAGTCGCGAGTGGAGTGTGGTACGAATCTGGCGCGGCGCCATTCGTAAGCTTTGCGGGGCAGGATCCTAGCGTCATGTTAGCGTCGCAAATAGAGCGGGGCGGTTTGTGCCTGAATCGCACGGCTTGATCGCTATTGCAATCGCGAAGTTTGACTGGGCCTCATTTTTACTCCTGATGCTTTGGTTGATTGGTAGTTGGTTTGGTCAGTGCAACATATAGCAGAGTTCGCTTGATCATGCTATTTCTTTATAATTCGTTGTCCATGGTGGTGCTAGAGTTGGTTGTGCTCCAGTAGTTGCAGGAACATGCATTATGCGTAGCCAGTTGGCACCGAATGCTATCAAGCGCCCTACATCGTTGTTTGGCACTGTCAGACGGGGCAACCACTCCAATTTTGGATTTCTCCTCAGCTTTCCTGTCCGTTTTCAATAACCTCAGCAGAGGACAGCAATGGAAACTTTGCTATAGTGCCCACTGTGAGCGTGGCATGTCCCGAAAGCAAAAATTAATTACTCTCCAGAGCAGTCTTCTGTAAACGTTAGCGTGCCTCATACTGATGCCTTTTCCCCTTCCCTCCCCCTCCCCCTCCCCTTACCATTATGTCAGACTTCCGAAGTCTTCAGGTAAGTTTAAAGAAATGTCGCATTTTCTAACAGACAGGCAGAGGGAATTATTGGACCGATCATATTTATGTTGTAGGATTGTTTGACTATGAAGATTGATCCGCTCTGGATGGTCGATTCTATTGCTACGATTGATTACAGGCTGTAAATTGGATAATTGAGCGGTCAAATCCCAGTGATTTCGAGGATAATTCATCTAGCAGCGACGGTGGCGAGGACGTCGAAATGGGAGGTCAGTTGTCAACAAAAAGTGTGTTAGAATAATTGTGGAATTTTTAAGATTGCTTATTCAGAACTGCAACTCCAACAGTGTGGGATAATATCAGCTAATCCACACCACGTTCTCAGCCGCGTATTCGCAAGTGTTTTCTCTTAGTAAGTAAAAGGTTAATTTGTTGCTTAGGCTCGTATCAGTGCACTCGATCTTGACGGAGGCAGCGATGCGAGACAGTTATAGCGATGTAGCTCTGATCTAATAGTAAGATTGTTGCCCCGGAGGTGACGCGTTTGTCGTCTACGTCGCGAAACCGTTGGGGGACGCCCGCGTATCTAACCATAAGTACATTTGTGCGCAATTGCGAAACAACAGTTGCTGTGTACTGCGTGTGGCCAGTAAGCATTGTGCCATCCGAGCTTTGGAAAACGTGGTTGAACATATCGCATGTAGTTCGATTCCGCTTATATAGACAATAGTTTTAGGCTGGTGTCAGAGTCCGCGATCCGTCGCAGGTTTCGCTGATTTTCGCGATTTCGCGATTTGCGCGATTCTGCGACGGATCGCAAAAATTGCAAGTGTGTGAACATTTGAAACACTGAATATGAAACAAGTGGAATCATGAGCAGTCGTCATTCAGCCATCACTATCAAGCAGAAGTGGCGGCAGGATTGGAGAACACCTTGCAGTATTGATCGGGCACTTGTGATTTCCGTGACCCGTCGCGTGAATCGCGCAAATCGCGCAAAAATCGCGAAAATCAGCGAAACCTGCGACGGATCGCGGACTCTGACACCAGCCTTAGGAAGGTGAGGCCAGAATAAGCATTGTGTGGAAAGGCTAGACGAATTTTGAGTGTAATAATGTAACAGTTGATTTGATTTGTTTGATCGAGTTCATTTGGTTTGACCGAGGCAAAAAAAGCAACTGTCTTAGGGTAACCTTTAGCTGATTAAATCTCAGGCAAACTACCTAATTTCCTATTGATACTTTATGAAATGGATTCTTGAGCTTCCGTTCGAAACGTCCCTTGTCTTTTACTAAGAAAGCTGATCATTTATGTTGTGGATCTGACCGTTCGACATGTTCTAAGTTATTTGGTGGTGAGAACTTTTAGGATCTAATTTATTCTAGGAGGTCGTACTCACAAAATGGTCTTAGTGGCAAATATGAGCCTGAAAATGGGAACTGGTAAATTGGCAGCTCAAGTAGGGCATGCTA